CGGGGGGGGGGGGGGGGGGGAGGTAATGGGGTCGAGGGGTAAGACAGAACCGCCCTTTTTGTGAGGAAAAGGTTCACTCTGGGTAAAATTTGATCAAAGGTTTCATTGTAAAAGACCCTCCCCCGTTTGAAATTGCTAGCTACGGCCCTGCATATTGTTTGAGATCAGAATGAAAGGAAGAAACATTTTCAAATTCATATACATATTTACAAACAAATAGACCGACAAACAAACAAAAAGAAATGAAAAGTTGAAACAACGAAAGATAAATAACATAAAATTTTCTACGCTTAGAGGAAAAGTTGTCATGTGTAGGGTATGATGAAAAAATGTGAGGTCCTAAATATTAATTCACCCAGAAAAGTTTTGAGTATTACTATAAACCGACAGATAGTGTACATGTATATAGGACAAAAAACACCTGATGCCGTCAGTTTCTATGCGTGTTTGTGTAAATGCAAAAAGCGTGGATAATTAAGCCTTTTTAAATTGTAGTTTGTGACTATTATAATTCTATCAAGCAACTGCGCACACGAATATTATGAGGTCTGCTTCCCTGAAAACAGGTGCGTATTTTGTTGACGGTCTGCATGTCACTTTTTGACCTTTCAATTTATTTCTGCATCTAACTTGCAAATGTATAAAAATTTGAATAACTTGATAAATTAATACATAGAGAAATGAAGAAAAAATGAATAAACAGAGCAATAACTGTCTAAAATGAACAATTAAATAAATTAATAAATATGTATCATTTGCCACGAGAGTGGCTGCAATGCTGCACCTGTACAATGATAGCATGCGTAATAAAGGGGGGAGGAATCCTGAAGATTTCATTAATAAAGAGGGATGAAGTCCTGACGAGTTCATTAAAAAAGGTCGAATAGTTATATATATATCAGCGCCCGCACTTTATTGTAACTTATTTAAAGAGATAGCCACCGTACCATTTTGACAGCTGAAGATAGCGCAGATGTAGCCCTAAGAATTTTAGCCTGCGTAGATAAAAGATTATTAAATATAATATGCGGGGAATAAACTAACAAAGGAATAGATATATGATTAATAACAGTAACATCGAAGGTATCCTGAATTGTTCAGAAATGAGAACCAAACTCCTGAGAAACATGTAAAAAATCATTTCTGATCTCATATAATACTGAAAATGAACATCTACTGCAATCCAGAAAACTGTTGTTTATTGGACAGCGTGCAAAAGACGAAAGACGCGACATGTTAGGCTACCTGACATTTTCCTGTGGCATGTCTCACTGACAGTCGGAAGCTCAGCGATGCACCACCTGAGTGAGTGGACAGTATCTGCTTGGTGGACTTGACACAGGCCTATAATACCCCGTGATAACAGGGGCTTCAAAATTGCATATGAAATTTATTTATGAGGCATACAATGATTTAGTAACAAACTACTACATGTAACACACCCGGTGGTCAGAAGGTAACCTTATAATACATTTACCCTTATTTAAGTCACGGCTGGTCTGAAAGAACAAATATCAGGCGTGGTTGGGGTTACAAGTGTTGTTGGGAAGGCACTTGATCCACTCACGCACCACGATACATCATCATCGGCAGACCCAGGGAGATCAACAGGCACATGCGGTTACCTAGGTTTCTCTCCCGTTTTTCTTAAACAAAAAAAAGGTATAACGAGCGAAATGAGATAAAACCAAGTCCTTCCCCCATGTTTGAACCTTTTACATTGCAGTGAAATCGTCCTCGTGTGTTGTTTATATAATTGTTGGGTTTAACTAGGTAAATTATTTTTAATATTTTCTTCTCCCCCCCCCCCCCCCCCCCCCCCCCGCCACTTTGACTCCATTGCATCACGTATTAGAGTGTCGTCATACAGATGCATCATTTCTATGTGCTGCTGTTTAGATAGGTGACATATTGATAGTCAAGTTGAACCCTAGGTCAAATTCTTTGTGCTTACATAAACATCAAAGTAAACGCTTCTTTGGTGTTATCTGCTTTGAGCGTGATAGGTATTAAATGATGAGCTTATATAACTACATCAGTAACTTTGAATATTTAATAATTATTCTATTCTCTACACTGGAAACGTCCGTTTTTAGTTGCTGCTTTGTGCGTCGGAGTCTTTATCAAACAATCGTGTCGATACATCATTCTTTTCAATTAAGACTTTATTTTGATTTATTTTACAAGTAGTATATTTTAAGTCAGGTTGTCGTACATTAACGGATCTAAGCTTACTGTACTTTATGTGCACTCAATATTTACTCAATAAGTGAGAAATACACGTTCTAAGCATTACCACGTAATGCTGAAAAATACTTTAGCACAGGAGTAATTAGGCAATCTATTTGCCCCATTGACAACCCGGTATAATAAGATTATGAACTCACACGTGGGTGTTCTTTAAAGCATCTGACAGGAGGTTATCGATGCTAATGCTACAAATAAACTGCACAAGTAATTTAAAAAACTGAATATTGGTTAATCGCTGGTACCCATAATGCGCATATCTTTTATGTTATAAGATAAATGGCCTCATAGTGCGTTATCTGAACTCTGATATCAAGTACGAATGCAAACGTATAGGCCCTACTATCAGTTAAAGGATGCCCGGTAAACCACTGTGCGTCACCAGACAAGGAAGACTTTTATTTGGCTGTCGTTTGCTGCGAGTCGGTTGACAGTTTGTCTTTGGTGAACATGAACTATGATGTTTTGCCAATTTTTTTTACTTTATTATGTTTCGGTTAACTTGGGAGCGTACTGTGTTATTGTACAAGGCGTCGTCAATGAGTCGTCTCAAGATTTTACTGACAACACGCGCGGCAAATTTGACGTTTTACGCTCGTCATACCTTTTGAAAAGTAAGTAGAGCTTAATTGTATCACACGGCGTTCATAGGATAGGTAAAAAATTTGTGCAGTAAATTAAATGATTATTTAAGTCAAATGCATAATATTCTTTGTATCCTTTGTATAATTTAAGGTGAGACTCACTTACCTTCATTATAAATTAGACAGTATCATTATTATGATAAATATTTATATTTGTTAGGTCACAGCCTTTAGTGAAACGAGAAGTAAACCAGTAAAGATTATTAATTGTTTAATTAATTCATATATTTATGCATTAATTAATTTATTTATTTATGTATTGGTATAGACTGAATTCGATACAGAATTGCAATTAAGACATAATTTGCTTAAATCTACCCAGGACTTATCACAAACATTTATATTTATATGTTTATTACTAAATTTATCCCCAAACCAACAACCAGACCGCAAAAGAAGACAGCTGGATATATTTCAGCAGATTGCGAATTCATTAGGCGGTAATGTCTACAACAGTAACAAAGGTTCCATTGGAGACGCAGTCAAAGTGGTTTCTGTAAGTCTGATAGATAATCAATCAATCACAATTAATTCATAAACCCCAGGGTTGGCTTTCACTCCGTAATAGAGCCCCCCCCCCCCCCCCCCCCCTGAGCTTTTTCCCCTAATGCAGTCTATTGATAAAAAATGACGTTCAGGTAACATTAATACATTAATATAAAAAAAAGGATGTTGTGAATTGTGTCCCTTTTCATGAGGTTATTTTGCTATGTTTTTGAACCTGATGTTAGTATACAAAATTCATTGATGTGTTTAGAAACTTATACGGCCAATTCATAGAGATAAATGCCATTTGTGCACATTGTAGGAGGAAATAGAGAACACAGCTAAAGTAACGATAGCAAAGTACATATGGCAAAGCACAGCGACTTCTCAATATATCCCGGTTGACAGCGAACTTCGTGAAGTATCTATTGCTTTACAGGGAACGGCGACTTCCATAGATATATTTAATGGTAGCGGTAAGGCACTTGTCTTAATCTATCGATTCGTCAAACATTTTCAAATCACTTAAGTAAACTTATCGCTGTTAATTTTTAAAATTATTTATCAATGGAAGGATATTTTTTTATTTTCTTTTTTATCTGTTGGAAGTTCTCAACATGGTCAATGCATAATCTGTAACATATTGATGCCCATGTCCATACTTCGTAACCGTGCTGGTAAAACGCTTGATATTTAACACACTTTAACCACCCTGTTTGATGTGGAGGAGAAACGTTACTTCACATGTCTTACCCTGATCTTTAGAAAAAGTTTATCATTTATATTGTTCTTCTTCTTCTTCTTCTTCTTATTGTTATTATTATTATTGTTGTTGTTGTTATTGTTGCTGTTGTTGTTATTGGTCTTCTTCTTCTTCTTAGTATTATGGATAAATGTATGATATCCTGTTTCCAATTTAACACACTGAGTCTATTAAATATTTCCCAGGTAATCGAATACCCATTACACCAACATCAGCTGGCACCAGGGTACAAATATACGACATTAACAACTCTGTAAGTCTACAATGAATCCCCCGTGTGCACGTGACCATTGTAACGTTGGTAACAAAGATGCTATAGCCACTGGAACTGACTTTTTTTGCACGAGTGTGTGTGTGTGTGTGTGTGTGTGTGTGTGTGTGTGTAAGAAACTGAGGCAGGTTATTCAAAGATACACTGAAAAGTGTCTTATATCTAAAATCTTTGGCTTGGATCTCAGATTTTAAGCTTGTTTGAAACAAAATTGGATTGGTCGCCTTTATCTCGACCCCATGATTCCTAGATATATTTAAATGTTTGTAAAAAAATGTGTACGATAAAATTGTCATTTTACATGTACATACAGTGTATGACTTGCAGTTGTAGACACGAGGAATACTTTACAGATATTTTTTCTACATTTTCCCTACTACCGCAGACACTGACCCCGGGAATGTGGGAGCTCAGAAGAATTTCGACAGGAAATATAGACCTTACGGTTACCGGAAAAAGTACATTTGATTTTACCCACCAGCTTTTAGAAGAAGACCCTGTTAGTGGGGACTTCTATGAGATATCAGGAAGACCTTTGGCAGGTAAGGCATGGAATTGTATTGTCTATCATAAAAAAGCAAATAATGATAATGAAGGGTGTTATCACATAGCATTTTTTTTACTCAAATCTAGAGTGCATTTAGAACAGCGGACTAACAGATCCGCCAATCAAATATGGCCGACCATCTTGAACACTTGTCGCGTAATCTCCGCGGGGAATATATTCAGTTTTCAGTCGGGACTTAAGCGGCAAGCTTTTCAATGGGTCGCCATATTTGATCCGCAGATCTATTAGTCCGATGTTCTGAATGCGCTCCTGGATAATTCATTCCCTGGTCTTTTATATATACATGTAAATGTTCCTGTAGGATCCAATACAACAGTCACTCTTCGTGTCACCGAGATAAGCGTGATAACCGGGGTGCACACTCTGATGCTACTTGATCAGTATGGACAAATAATCAAGACCTCCATCTTGGAACAGGGAGTAGGAAAAAACACCAACGCGTACAGAGGATCTATAGTGATCCCTAATCAGGTAAGCTAACACGACATATGGAGATAATCAGTTTTAGAGTTAAAATATGATTCAGTGGATGTCATCTGGTGTTTACAAAGTAAGATAAAAACGTGACGGCTCTGCGAGGAATATGTTTGTGTGCTCTCTCAAGTTTTAACACTAAATATCAATCAGACACGCGGTTTTTAACATTGTTTTCTGTGGAAATACACAGGCATTGCACACTTTTTTCATCAGTTCATTGAAAACATTTCATAATGGCATGCACTTCATTCAAAGTGAACTGATAGAAACGGACTAATTTTTTTTTCTTCTTTTTCTCTCCACTTATTTGAATAACGCTTGTATTTCATTGGCAGGCCTTTACGTTAGCGATCAATGGTACTGACCGCAGTGGACATACCTTCCAGCGCCTGTCTACGTCAACTCTGTTACCGGTCAGCATCAAACTGGACATTGAATCGCTTGGTATGTGTACCGTTTGTGTTTCTTTTGTTTTGAATTTAACATTCCCCTTGTGATGCGTGATGTGTGTGTGGTATATGAAATGAACATTATCATAATGTGTTTCGTGTTATTGAACTTCAGTGTATATTTTTGTAGGTCCGTAGGCTGCGGGACGTTTGGGGGAGGGGTTCGGAGATTAAGAAAAATATATTTTGGGAATCTTTATAAAGTGCTCGCATTTTCCTTTCTTGTAGTCCATCAAATGTACCTTTTTTCTCTTCAATTCAATATATATAGATGAGAGCTTTTTACCACAAATGGCCTGAAAATGGCCTGTTTGTATTGTAGGCTATAAGGCCTCAGGTGGAGAGTAGTTGCCCCCCCTCTCTCTCTC